AAAGACAACCACGCTGCCTTATCTGAGGTCTATGGATGGCCACTGACCTACACCAAATCTCCCTGCCATTCTCCACTGAGGCCTGCACGAGGATCAAGGCTCTAATAAAAGTCAGAAACAACTTATTAGACACCCATAATATCTGTAAAAAGTGTACTAGGACCAGCATCTCTTTCAGAAATAACTGACTATTCTTGTTTGCCCTCTTTCCTTAAAAGCAAGAGGGACTTGGAGTGTCCTACTTACTTCAGATACCTGATTAAGCATTTTTGAACAATCAGCTGTTCCATTGTTCTGCTTTCAAAGGCTAAGCAAAAACACTTCAGGATTTGCTCTCTCTTTCTGAAAGAGCTTGCAGGACTTCTCTCCTGACCAACACATCACTGCTGAGCCTAACAACTCAGACAACACACAAGTAAATTCTTATAAACAGCTAAAAAACAGAGTTAGGCACCTTGCTGTCATCAGCACCTACAAGCACAGCTAAAATTCAACAAAAAACACCCAAAGTGTTGAGCAGGTGACTGAAAAAGTGATAACGAGTAAGAGACAAACTTTTAGGATTGTTCTGCATAAATCATTTAATGAAACATGTTTGTGACCAGTAGGAAAAGTTCCCTTAGTCCCCATGGTGTGGGATTTGATTTCTGAATTAGGTGTGGGAACTGCCATCTGAACCATAATTCCATAAAGTCATGGATTTGAGAAATATTATTTAATGGGCCTTGAGATATAGGCTTTATTATCATGTTCTTGCTTGAAAAACATAATCAAGGGAAAAAATTTAAAATCCCTAAATCCCATTTCTCAGTCAGCTGATGCACCAACTGCAGCCACCCCTCAAGCAACCCCCAACCCAAGTGCCCCATGCATTCATCTCCAACACAGGACTTGGAAATCAGTGCTGGGAAAGAAATGTTAATTACTACTCCAAGCCAGCAACTCTGAAATCCCAGCAGCACAACGTGACGCAGTGCAGGGAGGAGACAACACATGGGCTGTGAAATGATTCACTGCAACACCAAAGTGCACAAGGTGCTGGGATTTCCCTTCAGTAAATGGGAATAATTAAAGTGTGCTCAGGCATCGTGGCCATGGGCATCATAACAACCACAAGTGAACGCTGCAGGGACTGTGTGACCCTTGGAAAGGCTCTGTGGGAAGCCAGGGGTGTGAGAAGTTGGTCACTAGGAACTGCAGTTCCCTCTCAGCAGCTCAATGCAACTGCCAACCAAACACTGACTTTCCAGATAAGAAAACCTGAGCTAAAAGATAAGTCACAGTTAAATATTTGGTTTCATTACCTTTTCAGAAAATTTTTCCATGGTACAGACTCAAGTTGAACTAAATCACCTACCACTCACCAGCTCATGTCTACATCACTGCATAGCACAGGTCACCAACCAGCCAAAAATAATTGACAAATTCTGATTAAACTTGTCTGCAGGCAAATCCAACACAACCAAAGAAACCACCATTCTGAGAAGAGCAACTACTATAAAAGTGTACAAGCCACATGAAATATTTCCTATTTAAATGTATTAGCACAGGGACACAGAATCAACAGGACTTTGGTGACTTTCTAAACTATCACTCAGCCACATAAACCAGATTTCAGCCAGCAGCCCTCCAGCACTGGGAAGAATTCCATGTCCTTCTCTGAACCACGTTTCACAAGCAGCTCCAGCATGCTGACAGCAACATAAAACCATGGAATGGTTTGGGTTGGAAGGGACCTTAAAGCCCATCCAGTGCCACCCCTGCTATGGCAGGGACACCTTTCACTGACCCAAACTGCTCCAAACCCTGTCCAGCCTGGCCTTGGGCATTGCCAGGGATGCAGGGGCAGCCCCAGCTGCTCTGGGCACCTGTGCCAGGGCCTGCCCACCCCAAAGGGCACCTGGGCTCTTTCACAGTCGCACAGGTTTCTCAGGCGCTGCTGCCTCCAGTCACACCCAGCCAAGGAAGTTTGGATTCTCCCACCTGCCTTCCTCACCTCCTAGCACAGGCAAAGCTGCTCTCCTGATCCTCCCTCTGCACTGCTCACACCCCAGGCAATCTCAGCTGTGAAGCAGACCTATGCATTGCTAAGCTGGCAGCAGGCACAACCCAGCACGGTGGTCCTTGGTGCACACAAAGCAAAGCACTCAGCACAACCCAGCCCTGCCTGCACACACCTGCCTTCCCCATGGGCAGCCTGAGAACCAGGAGCACCTCCTTGAACCAAGCCCATGGCTGGCAGGGCTTCCCAAAGGTGTAACAAATCCCTCCCTGCTTTGTTTATGCATTACACGATGGCCTGGTTATGCACCTGAATGACAGCACCTTCCTGGGCAGCAGGTCTGGGAGTGCTTTAAAAGGACCTACCAAGCTCTGATACATCCCTAACACTACTGGAATGAAGAATTTCTCAGGGAGATGGGGCTCTGTAGCTGAGATCAGGCAGGTCAGAATAGCACAAATGCTTCAAAGTCTGTCCTTGACCAGATACCGGTTCTGGAATGTCACCACACCAGAAAAACTCAAAGGTCAGCTCTTATCTAAGCATGATGAAAACGTGTCTTTGTCTCTTTTGGGTGCTCCTGCTTGAATCTCTGAGGTGGTCAGTGACATGGCCACTCATGGCCAGCAGGCTCTGGGCCATTGCTGGTGCCACAACTCTCACCAAAGGTCTTGAAGCAAACAGCAGATTTTTTGGGGGGAAAGCAGGGGCATCCAGAAGCAATGCAGAACCAAGGGATGATGACTGAGCAATGAGAAGTGTGCAGAATCACAGAACTGCTGGGGTTGGAAGGGACCTCTGGAGATCACCCAAGGCAGGGCCTCCTAAAGCTGGTTACACATCCAGGTGGGTTTGGAATGTCTCCATTCCACACTGATATTTTCCATCTCACTATCAAAATTAAAATAATCAGGGTTCATGTCTTCCTTCTAAAGAAGTAAATTCATAAAGACAGAAACTCCAGCCTCTGCCCTCACACAGATGTCCAGCATGGCTCTGTACCATCAGCTGGCCCAAGGCAGCTTCCCAGTGGAAAACTCTGCTCTTCCCTTCCTGCTCCTAGCACTGCTGGAGAAGAATGGCATTTACATGTGCTCAGAAGCTTGTACCAGCTCTTAAGGGTGACATGAGGAGCTCCACTAACAAGCACCCAACAGGCACTGAGGCTCAGCTTGGTCAATGTCACAGCACCCACCCAACAGGACGGTCAGTGCAGGGAGGGCTCATTCCTGAATGGCCACAGGCACCAACTTTACACGGGCTTTGCTGGGCCTGGCCCAGATGCCAGTGTGCATACACACTGTTCTGAACCCAGAGACAACAGAGGGATCAGCTTTTTTATTAGCTTTCAAATCTTGGGCTTTTTAAGAGCGCTCAGAACGTGAAGGCATGACTAAGGCAAGGGGCGGAAAAGTCGGCACAGAATTTCACGCGCCGTGTCTCTGAATGCTGCACTTCCTCTTGGGATTAAGGAGTGGCAAGGAAATTTCACTTTGCTAGACAACACGTGAAGCCATGAAACCCACAATATGGGAAATTTAATATTATTTTGGACAGATTTTTAGTCAAATGTCTCCTCCAATAACTACTACAAGACTTAGAAATACAATTCTATTACTAATCCCAACAGGAAGTTTGTGGATGTTATAGAACAGAAATAAAGTTATTAAATTCTTGTTTCTAACATCACGAGAACCTCTTTATGTCCACCCAGGAGAGATCACATGATCAGCCAGCTACCAGCTTTGCAATGGGAGAAACCCATTCTCAAACCACATTTACAACTTCACATGCAGAAATTCTTTCTGCGCCACCATCCCAAAACATAATGTGACATTTAGCTGGAATTTGATATTCAAAAGCTGTAACATCTGGTTACCGGCACTCATCCACATGAGCGTGTTCTCAGAGGATGCTGGAGTTACCAAGTGCCCACAGCTCACACCCACCCAGCTCAGTAATTCTGTGTCACACAGCCCTCCACCAATCACTAACACAGTCTGGACAAAAGGTATCCAAATCCATTCAGAGATTTCTCCAGAGAGATCTGAACAGCCCCAGGGCAGTGCAGGAATTCAGAAATCCTGGTGATTATTTCCAGCCTGGATGTGAAAGCCACTGGCATTCCAGCCAGGACCCCTGTGCCCATGCTGGGACTTTTTGTTGACCCTAATGACACAGACTGAGGTTCAACACATCCATCTACTGATGCAAGCAAGATTTCACACAGACTAAACTCAGAATACGGCCTTTTAAAAGATTTTTGCAAAAATATGGAGTCCCAGGGAAAATTCTGGGTTTGGAACAAAAATTTCCCTTCTTCCCTGACCTGTCTCAGGACCTTTTGCCTGAAGAAGGATCTTCCTCCTCCACACACACACTGACACCTAATACTTATGCAAACAGCATCCAGTTAACAACATAATTATGAAGCTGTTGTCATCATTTAATGCAACTCACAGACAAGAAGAAAATTCCCAGCAGTAATTTCCCAGATTCAAGAAGGGAACACACTCGTTTCACACTTCCGCTGGCACTTGAACCAAATCCTTTCTGAGTACTTTTTTCCAGACAGTCCATTTAACAATTAAAATAATTCCTCAATGGTAAATATGCTGTCAGCTACACAGATTCAGACTGGCCTTACTTTACACAACAGGCTTACAACAAATATTCCCATTGGAAAACAACAAGCATTTCCTTTCAGGAGACAGGACCAAAGCATCTTGGGGAGAAACATTCCAGGTTTGTATCTGCAGCTCACACTACTCCAGCCATCCACTATTTCCACAACCTGCTGCTCCAAAAACACCAAAGATTATCAAGTAAGCATGAGGAATTTTATCTTCAGTGCTGTCCGTGCTTCAAACGACACCACGCTAGTTTTAACAATTCTTTGATGCAACACCGTCCAAAATTTAGGGTTCCTACAAAAACTGTATTTTTATCCGCCATCTTGCTCCCCACCAGCAAAAGGAAACAAGTGAGTGCTACTTACAGTGGTACGTGGGGTTGTTCTGGGTCTGCTTTGGTCAGTTCCTCCTCTTCAACGTCCGACTCTCCCCCCGAGCTGCTGTCAGTGACATCCGAGTCGAAGGCCTGCTCGCTGCATCTCAAGTTGGCCATGCCACTGGCCGTGAATCTCTCCAGTTCCTCTGATATTGAATCACTCTTCAGGAAGTTGCTCAGGCCTTCCGAAGTAACTGTCTCGCTCGCAGCTTTCCTCAAGGCTGCTTCTGCTTTTCTGGTCAGCATCAGCTGGCTCCGATGCCTCAAGGGGTCCAAGGCTGGAAGCTTGCTCAGCGTTTTCTCCAAGAAGCCGCCCAACTGCTGCTGGATGTGTCTCTCCACCTGCTTGGCCTGCACCACCTGCAAGCGCTTCTGCAGCCGCCGGGCTCGGCTCTCGATGTCCGCCTGCCGCCGCAGCAGGGCCCTCGTCCTCATCTCCGAGTCCAGAGCGCTGTGCTGAGCGGGCAGCACCGAGGGCTTCTGCTCCTCCAGCTTGCTGCTGCTGACACCGGGCACCCGCGCGTCCCCGCTGCCGCCCTCCAGCACCCACTGCTGCTCTGCGGAGTTCAGGGAGGGTTTATTTGCAGTGCTATTATTGCTAAAGGGAGTTGCGTGCTCTGCATCAAGGCTTCTGTGTGGAAGAGTGCAATTGGTCAAGCCGGTCTTCAAGTCCCCCAATTCAGAACCTCCTGTGTTATAGTCAACAGTCTGGAGGGCAGCAGAAGGAGAAGCACACTTCCCACCATTCAGGGAACTAGAGTTTTCATGGTCTGAATTGGTACTTTTGGCCAATTTCTTGGCCAAGCCATTCACAGGCGCTTGCGGGAGAGGTGGCTGGCTATTGGTACTCATTGTTTTTAGATTCTCCAAAGTGAATTCCAACACTGGTTGCCTCCCCAACAGATCACTTGTTTTCAAAAAGGACTGAGATAAGAGAGAGTGAGATTTAAGGACTGTCTGCTTGTTGAAGACTCCTTGCAGCTTCAGAGGCTCTTTTGAAGAGACAGATGTTACATCCGAGCAGAGATAAGAGGCCACTAGTGGCTGCAGCTTGCCCAGCTCTTCCTTGGTGGGGTTGTTTCGGAAATCTAGACTGGGATCCTCCGGAGCAATGGCTTTCCTTTTGGTGCCGTTGGCAGCCAGGAGGATGTTGTTGGCGTTGCCGTTGCTCTCGGCACTGCCAGGCGACAAGGTGGAGGACGGGGGAGCCAGCTTGAATCGGATGTGGTGAGCTTCGGCTGCTGCGTCAGTGAGAGCGGGCGCCATCGCAGCCATTCAGCACAGACACGCGGGAAGTCCAGCCTCTCCCGCTGCCGAGGCCAGCTCCACTGCCTCCCACTGCCGCTCCCGAGGGCAGCCTGCACGGGGAAGGCAAAACACACGGTCAGGCGCTGCGTTGGGGGAAATAAATCAAAAACCGCTTTGAAAACGGCAGCGAGATGCGGACGCGACGCTCGCGCTTCGCCACGCTGAGCGCGGCCTCCTCCCCCCGGAGCCCCAGCTGCTCAGCAGAGCAGCACCAGGGAGCAGAAACGGGAACACACAGCCCTCCAGAACCCAGCATCTCCCACACTTGGTGCCTGGCTGGAACTGCTGCTCCCGTCTTTCACAGAACCCTTCCAGGCCTCCATGAAAGCTCCGGCCTTGGATGCTCCTATTCCTCAATGCCAGCAGCTCACCAACTTCATCATTAAAATCCCTGAGCTACACCTATGAAATAGCTTTCAGTGCTTCTACTGCCAGCTCAGGGGTCTTAAAAATGACAAATTTGACTATAACATGTAACACAGACAGGGCTTGAGTGGAACAAATCTCCATATGCCTAAACTCCCAGTGGCTGAAGGAACCCCATTGCTTCCCTGAAACCGGGATTTCAAGAAAGTCTCTTCCCCCGTGTATACGAAACCTACTTTCCCAGAAGTACATTTCCGAATGAGCCAGGTGATTTCCAGTGTGAGCAATTCCCATTTCTCTTTCAAGAGCACGGATAAAGATTAACCCACACACGCACAGAGGAGCTCTACACTGACTGTCAGACTAAGTCTGGGTTTAACCCAACTAGAGCAAACAAGTAAAAAGAAATAACTAAAGAACTAAAAACTCTTCGTTTCTCTACACTGCAGCCTCTTCCCACCCATCTACAAGTCTCTGGTCATTCACCCACCTTCCTTACCACTAAAACTGTCAGTGTTTTTAAATGTCTTTTTAAATTGCATTCAAATAACCCACAGCACCAGCTGTGCTGCCAGTGAAACAGTTACTTGATTTTCCTTTTACTGCTGAAGTTATTTAGCATTTTCATAGGATATTTCATGTCAACTTAATAATAAAAAGTTGCCCTGATCTCTTGCCTGATATGCCAATCCTCTAATTTCACATAAATTTGCATAAGCTTGTTGTGTTCATTAACACACCCCAAAGACCATATTAATGCACCACTTTACAGGAAAAGCAAGGACTAGCTGAAGTTTTAATATGTTTAACAAGGAAAATTTCACAGCCAGTTTTGTTTCTGGGTTCACCCAGTTGCTCCCAACATCAGATTCAGGTGCTTCTCCATAACAGGGATCAGAAAGACATCAAGGCTGAAAATCAAAGTACTAGAACCTGAATTTTTGTGAAAAGTCAAAGACGAGTTAGAGAAACAAACCCATATTCCCATGGAGGGAAGGCTCAAAATTTGCTCTGTGTGGTTTCCAATGAGTAAATACATTGGTCAACTGTCCAGCCCCTCAGCAGGTCCAAAACACAAACCCTCCACTCCTGGAATCCCAAAATGATTCCCATCTGTTCATCCTCCAGCCTGGACTGGTGCTGAGGGCTGTCCCTGCCCTGCTCACAGCCCCTCTAACTCACTCTCCATAAAATCCAGCTAGGTGAAGAAGGAGGAGACAGGGAAGGAAGAATACCCTCCCAGAGGAACCCACTTTAAAAAAGCAGCAGAAATATCGAGATGCTGGAGGAGGGTTCAGGCTTCCCAAGTCCCCAGCTCACAGAACTTACAGTATTCTGTAATTGACTACACTTTATCCTTACTAAAAAAGGATCTGCATGTCTAAAAGTTTAGGCCACATTCACTGAAAATGGCTTTTAGTCACCATTTGGGTCCATAAATAAAAACTGAACATGCCTATTCAGGGAAGAATGAAAAAAAAAGGAACTTGCAGGGAACTTTCCACTTGTAACTAAGACACCCTTGGGAGAGGAGGGAGGAAGACTATCAGAATAAAGACTTCCTCCCCTCCAGCCTCCTTCCAAGACCTTCACTAGACACACACTGGGGGTGACTGCCCCTAACAGGCTCCCAGTTCTGCAGAAACACCTGGGTTTCCCTTCCAGAGGGAACTCTGCCTCAGGGCTCTCCACCACAGCCCCCACCTGACATCCACAGCGGCTCTGGAAACACCCAAGCGCAAAAAGAGCAGAAATCCCCCCTCTCCTTGGAGCTAAATGACTCTTCATGAACAGTCAGGAGCCTGCAGGAGATGCAGGCTGGAGTGAGTTAATTTGTAGGTCATCAGCTTAAATTAACAGAAGTGGGAAACGGAAACAAAACTTTGACACTGCTTTTTCCTCCAGGTTAGCAAACCCACTTGGAAACTGCAAATCCTCCTGCTAAGCTCCTGCAAACCTCCTTGGCTCCACTTTTCCTTGAGTGGACAGCATTTGGAGTACTCTGGAAGCCTGGAAAGCCTCCCCTAAGAATAAGGCTTTGTTCTAGTAGCTTAAAGATGACCTCCAAAAATTATTGGGCCTATTTTTTGTATTTTATTAAAGTCCTTATAAACTCTCTGTGTGCTGGACAGCACTGGCTCCTCTAACACTGAATTAGACCTCAACTTTTATGAGCAACCCTGGAAAAGACATTAAGGAACATTTGTAAGCATGTTCCCTCCCTCTGTTTATAATGTTGTTATTAAAGCTGTATTACACTTATCTGGAATTTCTTCCTAACAGGGAACTGGAGGGGAGAAGGTGTTAAGGCATCTCTGAGGAAGGAGAATAAAGAAAAAGAAAGGTCACAGAATGGGAAGGTCATTCACAGTCTGAGGAACTTTCAGAGCATTCTGCTAAGTCTCACAATAATTCCAAGAATTATCCCCAATCTGTTGCCTGCTCCTGGGACCCAAACTGTGCTGGCAATTTCTACTGAAACTGCTGTCACCCATTAGTATTAGCAGATCCACGTGAGCACCCACAGTCTCTTTTCACTGTTTCCCTGCCAAGGGTCTTTAATTCCCAGCCCTCAAGGTGACACATGTGTGACCAAGACCTTCTGCTGTGGCCCCAGCCCTGCTGTGAGAGAGCTGCTATCGGGGCAACAGGGTAGCTAGAGATCCAATGGTGTCAGTAAAAGAAAATCTTAAATACTCTTTTTTAATTATTTCTTAAAAATTCTCTGACTTTATGGATTCCAACAAGCTGCCAGGGTGCCAGGACACTGCTCCAGCTCCACCAGCACAGCTCAAGCCCAGCCCAGCCTCCAGCAGCCCTGGCACAAGCCCTGTGCTGGACTTGGCATGGCCAGGTCCAGGAGGAGCTGCCTCTGAAAGGCCAGCGTGGTGTTTACAGCCTGTCTTTAGCTAATTCTGAATGAACGTTCTTCATTTTCCCTTCCGAAGTAGAGCACTGCCAGAGCACTCAGCAGTAATTAACAGAGGCGAGATGAAAGGCTGCAGCAAGCAGGTAAAACCAGGGTAACCGTAACTCACCCATCTTCCCTCGCTCCCCAGGAGGGCAGGGAGGCAGCAGAGCCACCAGGGCTCCTCGGGGGACCCCTGAGCATCCCTGGAAGCCTGAGCATAGGGAGGAGTGGGACAGGGCTGAGGCAGAGATGGGAGGGCAGAGGGGCACCAGGAACACACCCAGTCACACTACACCGGGAGCAGCACCGGGTTGTGACACCCCTGAAAACAATCCCCCGGCCTGCTGACTTATTCAACACCCTCTGCTTCTAAAACCCAATTTTACAATCAGACATTGGAAGGAGAACTGGGTTTCCAAGCATGTGATTTTTTGCGGTACCCCAGAAAACAAGCCCAAAACAAACACAGGAAGTTTTGGCTCTCTGAATTCTTTGTGGAAGGAACCAGGCACTGTGCTTCCAGTGAGAAGCATGGGGAGCTCTGAGGCACCAGTTTGCCTCTGCAAGGGCTGAGTGTGCTCTTTTCCCACATCCATCCCACCGTGGCTCCCTCACCCGTGCCCTCCATCCCTCCCTGCACTGCCTGGCCTCACACACCCACCTCACACACTTACGCTCCTGGATTATGGTTTAACTCCCTGACATGACCCCAAACTCTGCACTGCTGCACCCTGAAAGCCCTTCAGCCCAAGCTGCCCCCAACACCCATTTCCTGACGCACACAAAGGTGCTGCTAGAAGCAATAGAAGCAGAGTTACCCCGAAGGAAGTGAGCATTATACCAATTCCCACTTCCCCTCTCCTCCCCCACTACAAATCAGCAGCGCAGCCAACTCTTGAGTCCGTGTGGTTACAAATATGTTTCAGTCAAAAAACCAAAACAAAGCACATGAAAAACCCCAAACTTGGTAAAATAAAATCCCTCTACACTTCATTTTGCAAGTAAAACACATCATCTGTGCTAACCTCAGCAGATAACAACACACAGCAACTCCCTGAGCCCTACAAATATTTTCCACATCCACAATGTCCATCTACCGAAGTTACAACTGCACATAACAGATTCTCTACGTGCCTTTTGTTATCACCTCTCAACATTCTGTAGTTGTAAGACAGGTGTTGACCAATTTAGAAAGGGATTTACATGAGAAGCAACTCTCAAAGCTTTAATTAAGGAAACGTGACAGGCAAGTACAGGACGATCACCTTATTGATAAGCCAGTTATCACGTGCAGACTGTGTGCTTGCAGTGACCCACATTTGGGAAACAGGCTCTTTTCTTTTAAATATTAATTAAAAAATGGTCAAGAACATACACAGGAATCACAGATTTTTACAACACACACATGAGTGCATTCCACAGCTATTAACACTACAGACTTGCACCTAATCTCCCAGGGAAAAACAAGAATTTTAATAGTAAGAACATACCAGAAATACTACTGAGCTCCACTTTTGTTTGTTTCCAAAGAGAAGCCCTCAAGATTAAACTAAAAGCTGCTGTTTCTACTTCCTTGTCCACATGAGTGGCAGGGTCTGGTCAACTCTGAGATCTCCTTCTGCAAGAATAATTCTCTCTTACGCCTGTGAACTCTCACTGGATATAAATAAACCAAACCAATTGCATCATCTGAGGTAAAGGAGGTTTCATCAATATGATGTCAGAAAGAAAAACAGAAGCCACAAAGCAAGATTAACTGTCATCACTGA